ACTGGGTAGACTGGATGGGTTGGGTGGGCTGAGAAAATTGGGTAAATTGTGGGGTCTTTAGGGTATCAGCATAGCTGCGAGTAGTAGAAGGGACCACTTTATTTGCTTCCATATAGGAAATGTTTTTTTCGGCCATCATGATCTTAATGGCCCTCTGCCTGCCATACTCCGGGCAAGCCTTGCTGTTGGCAAAGTGACCGCCAGAGCATAGGACACAAAAGGCCCCCGTTTCTGTTACCTCACATTCGTTACTGGGATGCTCATGTCCGCACTTGTTGCATCTAGGCCTAGATCTACAGATAGACTCCACATGACCAAACCTGCAGCATTTCCTACATTGGACGGTGGGGTAAATATATTGCTGTACAAGAAGAGAATTATAGCAGCAGAAAACTCGTTTAGGTAGAACCTGGCCATCAAAAGTGAGGACACAGGATTCTGTTGGCTTCCACTCCAAGATACCTTCATTAAATGATTTTCGGTTAAGACGCCTGACTTTAATAATCTGCCCACAGCCCTGCGGCACTGTCACAAATTTAATTACTTCATCATCATTCATGTCGGTAGGGATACCAGAAACAACACCCATTCTAGTAATGTTATAAGTAGGAATGCTGGCAGTGAATTTATAAATATTTAAGAGGGGGTTAATTAGGAATTCATTAGCATCCCGAGGGGATGAAAACTGTACGGTTACTCAATTCCTTCCACCTTTTTTAATACCATCTCTGACAATATTACTTATATTGTTTTTAAAAAGAAAAAGTCCAAACGAAACAGGATGGAGAGTTGTACCAGAGCCTAACTGGCTCTCCACGCGAGAAACATGTACCATGTAGGGACCACTGTCATTGTTTGTGTATTTGTCACGACTAACAAAGGTTTTCGTTTGAGTTTGAAGACGTTTAAGAGGGGGGGCACTTACCTCATCGTTCCCATTTCGTTTCCGTGAGGTAGAAACGAGGGGCCTGGTTTCTTCCACCGTAGCGTTGCAGACCACATTGGCAAACTGTTCTAAGGGGTTGGAAGGGGTTGAAGGTTGATCGGGTAAGGGAGGAATAGGGGTGAAAGGAGGGGTTACTGGACATGGAATATCGGGAGGGTCGGGCGGTTTATTTCCGTTCATGTTCACTAACCGGTAATAATATTTAGTTACAAAAAACACACCGTAACCAAGGACAGCACAAAATAACAAAAAAAAAAGACCCAATAGTCACAAAATCACCAAAGGTTTGAAAAAATTCTAGACGCACGTGCTAACCAAACGAACGACGCGACAGAATCCGACATATTATATTATCATAACATCACAATCAGGATAGCACACAGAAGCCAATCATTTAGACATCAACGAAAGTAAAACAATAATTCGTAACTACCATTGCCCAAAAGAAATGTCTAAGAGCTGTTTGTGGAGTGAGTCCTCTTGACTCTTGTAAACCGTTGTATAAAAAACATAATTTGCTGACATTGACCTGCATGTATGTTCTTGAAGTATCAATCTTTGTTAGGAAATATAATAATTTCTTTAAATTCAAGGGGGATCATGTTACTAAATACAGACCAAGAGATCCTACGAAAATAATGATTCCATTTTGTAGAACATCTTTGATGAAAAAGAATGTGTATCACATGTGCATTTCAGTTTTTAATAAACTTCCTAAGAGCCTTAGGGAACTCCCATTTAAATATTTTAAAATTAAGTTAAGAAAATGGCTAGTTGATAAGTGCTTTTATACAATTAAAGAGTTCATGCAATACAAAACTGATGTAAATGATCATTTGTAGATTTAATAAATTAGATATAATAATTCAATAAATTTAATAATTTCTAAATTTAATAATTTCTATGTAATATTTTTATTTTATTTTTTGACATTTTGTTAATTTTATTAGTTAGTAGTTATCATTAGTTAATGTTTTGAGTCTCTATAAAAATATTTGCATGCCTAGTACAGGCAGAATATAGCTTGAACATTATACACCTTTATAAAATCTGGTACCACCTGTATTCTCTGCAAATAAATGTTTCTTTCTTTCTTTCTTTCTTTCTTACAGTAAATAAAATAAGACTTGACTTAAAGGACTTATTTACCAGGTCATTAAATTCCAAACAAAAAAAAAGTAAACTACAGTACATTGTCATTACTGTCATACTGACAAAAGTGTGAATAAATAAACAAAACTGGTAGGTAGCTAAGGAAAATATTTTTACAATCATAAAATTCGTTTAATAAAATGTCAGGAGAAGATTTTGATGCCCTGGATCGTGGCGATAATGATGGTCAGAAGTCAGATAAAATGTTTACATTGAAAAAGTGGAATGCCGTAGCGATGTGGAGCTGGGACGTCGAATGTGATACCTGTGCTATTTGTCGTGTTCAAGTAATGGGTAAGTCTTTAAATAAAATAAAACCACTAGTTATATACATATATCTTGAGGTAAATTCTCATATCTATATGAGTTATACTTTCAAAAATACAAAATTGTTGTTGTTCTGACAGAAATAACTTTGTTGGATCAAGTACACTAATATAATAAAAACAGTAATTAAATGCACTAATGTCTCTGTTGGTACATCTATTCGATTTGAACAGTTGAATTTAGAGACTGTAGTAGTTAATATTATTGTCCTTTCCCTTGAAAGAAAACTCACCCCAGTAAAACCTTAACCTAATATTAATTATTTTATTTATTTATACATCTTTATTGTATACCGCTACAGTATATATTTTACAGACATGGATGAACATCTACATTTTGGTATTACAATAGGCGGTCTTATAGCTCACGGCGATCTCTTACAGACAACCTTCACACGGATATTGTTAAATCTGATTTAGGGTAATCTATGGTGTACTTAATAATACTTTAGTTATTAATGTATATATAAAATACATACCACTAACACATATAAATCCATATAAGTAATAAATACATACAAAAGTTATAAAGGTTAATATAAAAATAATTTGTAACCTGTGATATACCTAGTATTACTATGTGTATTATCTTAATCTCTAAATCTAACCTACGAATAGAATATAATACCAACCCAATAAATTGTCACAAAAATTGATGCCACAACTGATTCATAAACATTGCATAACAATGTTTATTTCAACATGTAAAATAGTCAAGATTTTATTTAATTAAAAGTAAACACCGCTGTTTGTAGTTATTGTTAGATAAAGCAACAGTGCAATTGTTGAGCAACAAAGGGGGTGATCTTAAACCATTGTAGAGAAACGAAAAACTATTATTTTACTTTAATAATGGATATCTCACTATCATAGCATAGGAACATACCTATATAAAAGTTGAAGTGATAAATAAAATACATTGTAACAAATTACTGGGCATTAATTTTCCGCCATCATTCCACACGGCAGATTTTTCATCCTCATCACCTGAATAGTTGGCGCTCCACTACTGTGCGCTCGTCTGCCCCCTCTAATATAAAAAAAATTGGTTTAAAAAATATTTGCCATTTCCCTTTAGCCTTGCTATGGCATTGTGATAGGCAATGCATTATATCTGTATTAATCTTTCTTGATTAAAAAGCAATAAAGAGGTTACAAATAATATAAATTTATTACTTTCCAAATATACATGTAGAAATTCTGAATTTTTAATACAAACCTTTCATCTTGTTGTCTCTGTCATCTTAATTTTGTTTGAAATCATAGAAAACTTTTTATTTATATATACTCTCATCTTGAAAATTGTAAATAACCTATAGGTTATATAATTAGGAAATTGTACATGAGCTCTGCATGATTTCACTTCTTTTGTTACCCAAAAAACCAAGCAGCAGAATTTTGCCAGTTTCAAAGACATGTCATGACAAAACTTAATCTAAGCTTTGTGTCCTTCAGAATCTGTAAAATTTTAGGGCTAATAAAGAGTCCTTCTTTTAGTTTGAGATTGAATAGATGTATAAATTGAATTTGGAGTTATTTAAATCCTAGTGCATTAATGGAGAAACTTGATTTACAAATTGTTTAGTAATTCCATTCCCAGTCAAAGATGTTTGACTTTACTTTCTTTGAGAGTTTGACATTGATATGGTCTTAGATTTCAATCTCTCTTTAAAGTAAAGTAAACAAGTAAAGACATATCTTAAGTGGGATTAATAAAAAAACAAAAGAACTTGGTACAATTCACTGGTCAGACTCCAAGATTAGACAGATCCAAGAACATGGTTGTCACTTTGCATTAACAGTTATAAAACTTGCAAAACTTTATGTAAAAATTAATAAATTGAACACACCATTTTTCTTCTTCGAGTAGCATGTCATGTCTAAGTAATAATAAAAATTACTAAGGTGCCAAATATGTGATAAATTCTATTAAGCCCCAAATGTTACATAAAATATAGCATAATGAGCAATAACAGCTAACTATTAACATTAATGCCTATACTTAAAGTCAGTAAAACAAATACTATAAATAAAATATATTTATTCATGTAAAAGGCAAATTTTATGGCAAATTGTGTAATTAGTTTGTCTTCATTATGATTAATAACTAATCTAAACCTAAGTTAGCTATTTTTGGTTTACACTATTATTAGTTCAGAAATAAATAAATTAAGTTATAATTAATAATAGTAATATTAATTAGTAATATTCTAATTCTACACTTATAACTATGTATACATCTTGCAATCTACATTAGTAGTAGAATCATATTTGACTGTGTGTTTACTTCAGTTTTAGACATAAAATACTATAATCATTATGCTATAGTAAGAAAAGAGTTAATGCCAATGTATATAGCTTGTTTTGTAAAAAAACCGGTTTGAGGTAAGACTGTGATATATACTCTACATGGCTACATAATAACTAAAAACATTTTGTACATTGTAAACTGGTTCACCTAATGCATACACAATGCATCCACAATTATAATAATATACTATTCTGGGACATATTACACATCTCTGTCTAGAATGATGATCTCACTTATATATCACATTTTTTGATAGGTTTTTATATTAACAACCACTTGGTAATGGTTTTATATTAGCAATAGAACTCAGTCTGCGAGTTCTAGTGCTCGCTCTACCAGTTAGCTTATTTTCAATCTGTTCAAGACTTTTTCCTCTTGTTTCTGGGACAAAAATCGCAACGAAAAATAAGCCTATAAAGCAAATAGATCCAAATAACCAAAATGTACCAGCTGGGCCTATACCTTCCAGAATGTTGTGAAAAGTTTTCGTAACCGTGAACGTACATAACCAGTTAAATGCTGTAACTAAAGATGCAGCACCACCTCTTATTTTGGCCGGCAATATTTCACCCATCATTAACCATGGGATCGGTCCGAATGCTAAAGAGAAACCCAACAAGTATATCATTATGCACGTCAAGGGTAGCCATCCTAAAGATGCGACATCTATTTCTGTGTTGTATTTCACATAAAAATATGATCCAAGTATAGTTAACATAATGGTCATGATTACCGAGGATATAATTAGTAACACTTTGCGTCCAGCTAGATCAATGAGTGCAGTTGCAACAAAAGTAGATGCAAAATTTACAAATCCTACAATAATAGTTGATAAATTTTCGTCAACTGAACTTCCAGATAATTTGAAAATTTTTACGGTATAAAAAATAACAGCATTAATTCCCGACAGTTGCTGAAATGTCATCAGCCCTAGGCAAATTAATATAGATCTCATGTATTTAATACTGAAAAGCTCCCTCATACTAAAATCATCACTTTTTACCTCGGCATCTGAAAGAGCTATTTCGCGGATTTCATTGTCAATTTGGGTATTTTTTCCACGAAGCCATTGAAGTGCTTTTCGGGCGCGTTCGTTACGATTACGAGATATGTACCAACGAGGTGTTTCTGGGATTAATAGTGTCAAAATAAAGAATGGGATAGGTAGCGCGGCTCCTAAGTATGCAAGTTGATACCAGTTTAGATACTTTCCAGCCACATAACAAACTAATATGCCTATATTACCAATAGCTGTAGGAAAGAGACCTAGAGTGCCACGAACTTCTGGTTGGATTGCTTCCCCAAGATAAACTGGAAATGCTAGTGATCCAACTCCAACACACAGTCCACATATAACACGTCCGGCTAACACCATATGAACCACAGTAGCAGTAGCTATTAACATCCATCCGACGAAAAATGGTGGCGCTAAAAGTAATATTGTTCTTTGACGCCCGATATAATCTATTAATGCTCCACCAGCAACGCCACCAACGAGTGCTGCCAAAGGCATTAAGCTTCCGATCCAACTGGCCTGTAAATTTAAAATTGCTTGGTTTTAAAAAGTTTTAGACTTTACTACCGATAATGATTAATAAAAGCATCTCGCCATACTAATATTAGAGCTTTCTAAAGATAATTATCATTTTTATATAATACAAATATGTTTAGTAATCTTTTAAAAACTTTCATAAAAATCCTTAAAGATATGATAGTAAGAACGAGATGCAATCTTGAAGATGCTAAGTACATTTGTTGTATCTCAAATTTCCTCCTTAATAGCTAAAGTAGATTAGAAACATCTCAAAGACACAAACACAAATAGCAAGTGGAAAATATGTCATTATTTATTTATGTTCTGTCGACATACAGTGTGACACACAATAGAAACATACTTCAGGGCACTCTAACGAAGACGCACGGATCTACGGAAAAATTGTTAACCATGTTTCGCGATATGACAAATTCTCACGCCGATAAGCATTATACGAGTATACTAAACAACTTCCCAACATCAACCGTTGGACCACGGTTTGCTAGGCCAAATCACTCGCCTGGTCGATGTGCTCCCTCTGTGTTGGAGGGACATGAAACTCGTTCCTTCACAATGTTAACTATACAAATGGATTTTAGTTTTTGAAAATAGAACAAAAAATAGACGATTAACGTACTTCTTCCTCTGTAACATTGATGTCAGTGCTATTTAACATACTGGCGAGAGCTGGAGACGTATAAGCGGATGAGAAACCGATGATCATTGACCCCATTGAAACTGCCACAGCTGCTAACACCTATAAGACAAAAATGAAAGGCAACCATTTACATAAAAAGTGTAATACGACTGATAAACACAAATTTATTTTAATGGTTTTTGTTAAGACATTAATTTGAATGCAAGTGGTATGACGTTATTTGCAAGGAGGCGTGTGGCTGTGCATGCAACAACAGCACACAAATCGCCTACTATTCATTTAAACATTCATTGACACTGATTGAGACTACTTGCTCTTAGTAAAAATACTACAGAGTACTACAACATTAATAAGCGTTTTATCAGAACTCACGTTTTCTGCATTTTAACTAATTTAAAAAAAAGAGGAGTTTTTGTGTGTTACAAATTTCGTTTTTTTTCTATGGAATGCAGACCTAATGGCGATTCATTAAGTCACGATCTAATGATGTGTATATCGGTGTTTTTGCTATTATTAACCACTAAAAACTATAAAGTTATGTTATTAACAATATTAGACATATGAAGACCTCAAATTGTAGTTAAGTTTAAAAAGGTCATTCGAAGAAAAATAATATAACTGAATTTATCAAAAGTATTTTAATTGATTGTGGATAAGCAATCGATTAAAATACTTCTGATAACTCTGAAAAAAAATATCTGAAAACACCCGTATGATGCACTCAAGTCAAGAAAGACAAGAGAAACGTTTTTACTTCTGGTAAATATTTAGCTGAAACGGGTGTGCTCTAATTTTTGAGTGCTTTTATACCCTGTGTGGGCCTCAAGATACCAGACAGTACAGGTGCAGTAACTGAAAAATATAGTTTTTCAGAGCTTCTTTATATCTGAGAAGTGAGTAAGGTGTCACTGTGATCATTTGGTCTCACCCTATCCCTGACCGTGCGTATGCATATTTATTACCTACACTTGACCCAGTCATAACCCTGAGGATGTATGAGTGGAACTTTGATGTGCAGAAAGAAGGCTATATGAACAATTTATTCAAACGATCTAGTAATGGTGATGGTAGTATTACCGACTCCTCAAGTTAGTTCACGCTTCCTAATCACTTTCTTAAAAATAAAGACTGTCTACTGTTTATTATGAATAGTGACTTAATTGAGAGCTAATAGCGTTCAGCATGCCTATCTTTTCAAAAGATCAGATATCTAGAACATCGTCTGGTTTTAAGTGATTTGGCTCCAAGATGACCGCTTCGCCATATCCTTTCACTTTTCTATTAATGGCAATTTGGCAATGGTAACTGCTGACCATTCTAAAATATAAATATGTATGAATATAAATATTTATATGTTAATATGCATATTAACGCATTAACATAAGTAAAAGCGGCGGTAGCCTAGTGGTTAAGGCATTGGTCTTGGGATCAAGAGGTCGTGGGTTCGAATCCTGTAATTTAGCTTAGCGGGAGGGGTTAACGGGAATACTAGTAATTTTGGTTGTTAGTAAACCTTTATAAAAAAAAAATATTACTACGTAATTGCCATCATCATAAAAAGTCACGAAGTGTGCTACTGTATTATTTCAATATTTTAATTATGGTTGCAGATTTCGATTATTGAAGTTATTATTCTAAAATTTATAGTCAGCCGATATCGTAACACACCATATTACCTCTTATAAACGCATAACTTCTGTAAATTTTACTATCACAAATATCAAGCTGCGAAATCGGAAAAACTTGCATCGGAACAAACGTTATGACAACAAACACTACATTGCAATGTAGATCAAGTTCAATTATTGATAGTGAAGGGACATTTTAGTAGCAAGTTTAGGCATAGCAGAATTCGGCTCGAATCCGTGGTATTCGTTATGTTAGAACCGCGGTTCACCACAAATACAGGAGTAGTCGTCACTGTAATTATATACACTGTATGAGGGGTCGTGGTGTTTTACCCATTGTAGTAACTTCCATTTAGAATATGTTTTAACCGACTTCAGAATCAGAGGAGGATCTCAATTCGGCTGTATTTTTTTTAAGTTTTTTGACCTCAGAACTTCGACATTTATGAACCGATTTGGAAAATTCTTAATTTATTTCATAGGTGATACATCCCGCTTGGTTGGGAATAGTACAGTACGAGTAGCTTTGAAGTGCTTTAACGTGCAGAAACCTAGAGTTTACAAATTATACAAACAGTTGTAGTAATTCACAGTACAATTGAACGACCCGTTTATTATGCGGAATTAATGATAACAGTAGAAGCAGCACATTTCTACTATAGCTATGATGTTGTTAGACTCCTTTCTCAATTAAAATCTATCCATAAAATGTGTACCCAAATAATAAGCTATCATCATGTTCTACAAATACTGGATTTAAGAATATCACCTACATCTTAATAATCCTATACAATATTTATATAACTTCGTATTCTCAAGGGATCTACAGGTCATATTGGTTTTATTTTCGTATGTAATTCATTGTTTGACTGGATACTATTTTAGTTTTGACGCGCTGTATCTTAAGTTCTGCTGGCGCTATTAAACAATTCTTCATTGCATTAGTTATCCCGTTATAAAGTTTTTAGGCTTTATAAGGTTGAGTACCAATAGGATCAACATCACATCAGCACATACTACACAAAAATGATTAGATTTTCCTACCTGAGAAACAGTACATTTTGGGTTTTCAAATTGAGTGCCACACTGTATGCTATAGTGAGTATCTGCACGCATTAAAATCTTCATTATAAGAAATAAAATAAAAAACACTACACTATGATATAACCAACACAGAACCGAAATGTGCACTCTCCTTAAGTTACTGAAGAAGTGAATAAAACGCAACTTCGCTGCGATTTATATGGGTACAAATTGATTGACAAAGCTGATTGGCTCGACAAATCAAAACCGAGTGTTTTCGATCCTAGAAATCACATATCTTTTTACCTATTCGCAGATGTGCCTTAATTATATCGCAATCGTCGAACCTTCCCACTTCAAATGAGTGCCAAAGGTGTAGCCAAGATTTGGTTTAGAGCAGTGCAAAATCAGGACAATAAATACTATTCCATATTATACGACTTAGAACAAAAATCTGAAGTATTTATTTTAGCAAAACCCCGCATGCATTCTGGATGTCTTTTTCAAACTTTTCTTCCAAAATGCAGTGTTAAATTTAAATCACCTCATTTTTGTACACTTTAAGTGCCTTGAGTATTTTTTTTTATACTGTTTTATAATAAGTTTATGTAACTAGGACCAATAGTAATAGTAACTTTGTAATCAGATTCAATAAAAATAATGGTATTTAAGAATATAGGATACTCTTTACCACGTGTTAAATTAGTTGACATAGTTAGCCATACACTATCATGTACTCGTACAGCTACAATATAAAAAAAGGGTTTTTTTTAAAGAAATGTAGCCAAATATTGAATATCTCGACCTCTTCTCGGTCTCTTAAATATGCTTAAATTCGTTAACCAAGTTACTGTGTATATTTTATTTTATTTCAATAGGTTTATCTGATCCAGTTTTCAATTAGACTTGAATAGATTTAGTTTAGAATGGACCTGAAAATGGCTTGAATTCATTATTTTAAATATAACACTAAAGTGATAAAGTTGCTAGAGCTTCTACATACAAAATCAAATTAAAATTTATATAGTGTTTAAATTGACTCCACATATGGAGGAGTTCAATTGTAATATATATTCAGGACACCGCCCGGACCACATGACGTATACCGCAAGTTCACATGCAAATTTAATTTGTGGAAGAATGTCAGGCAGATGCCGCTTTATCAGTTTGCTCTTTTAAATTATATACCCGCTGAATTAGGCCCTAAAAGAAGTTCCTGCGACGATGGATGAGGACAGGTTCAGAATAGGTGACTGATGTATCTTATCAAGGGCAGTCTATGAGGGGTTTTTATGGTATATGGGTCTTCTGAACTGCGGTTTTATTTTTAGGATTTTCAACTTTATCTACAGGTTCGTAATGATCTTTATTATAGCTATAAATAGCTATATCGTTTCCGCGGAGCATTCACCTTGTCCGCCTTTCACATAGAAATTTGCAAATGTTTGACACAAGACATAAAATATAGTGGTTCTTGCTGATGTCCTCCAGAGTACTGTCAATATTTTGGAAATCGTTTTAATCTCTAATATAAAACGTGGCGAACCTGCATCACTCAAAGATTTAAGTAATATCAGTTTTGTCTCCTTATTGTGTAGAAGCAGGCAATCGACTGTTACCGAATCACATTATTATATCTGGGGGCACGGCAGTCCCCCGCCAAGGCACGGCGGTACCATCCTGTTCTCGAAGCAGTTCAGGTCATTTTCGACCCCCTATAACTTCGATGTGCCTTTCTGTCTTAACTTATTACGTAATTAGCTAACCTAACATCCGCGTGTGTCAGACGTCGCCTAAATGGAGAATGTACCCGAAGATGGTGCCCGCGCCATTGCGGGCAGGCGCTTGGAGGGGTCCGGATGACTTAACAATAGCAGTTCCCGGATCTCTCCTATTACAGGCTCAAAGTGGCACACTGTGTGGTTTTAGTTGGATCGATTCCGACACACCGCCCTGGGGTGACGCCGTTGGGGTGACGGCCCGAGGGGGTTTCCACACACACAAAAAAAGGCTTTTCCTTCTCTTTGCAGTGCCGTTGTATTACAGGGTTTACTCCCTTAGTCGGCTCTTACGACACCCACCCACGGGGTGTTGACAATCCGTACTCTTAATCCGTCACCACACGGACAGCCTTTTTAACTGTCATAGTTTTTTTTTAATATTCTTAAGACGAAATATATTTTTTACAAATTAGTTTCATTTTCCTATTAATAACCATCTATTTCGGCCTAGTTTGTTAAGTTAACTACAATTTAAAGTATCTACCTCAACTTAACCGGTAACCTTATATAACTACAAATTGTCGTTACCTATTTCGTAAATGTTGTATAATTTGGACAAATCTATTGGGAGCCTAAATCCTCTTCGCAGAAAATTTTAAAAGTACTACCATCTGTAGTACTTTCAAAATGTAACTTTAACAGGGTTGAAACAAATAAAATGGTAGCTTACAACGGTGTAACATAGAACAATTAATAGTATTCAAATAGTTATACTTTACCGCTTTACGCAATTTCAAGGCCGCTGACGTTTTAAATCATTAAATAGTTTAGTATAATGGACACAATACAGATCTTAATCTTGTCATGATTACGCGTAGAACAGCTACGTTAACAAATATAACGCAAACGAATGATCTTAATGCGCACTTCAACGTTATGCGCGCGTTAGCATCTAAACAACTCGGACCAAGTAAACGTTCTTGTTATCACACGTACACCACGTCAGCGAACTCGTCAGTTTTAACAAAACGGCTTAGAAATAAGGAATAGGCTAAGGTCCGTTTCCTCAACATTCTTAAATTACAATACGTGTGTGAAATGTAGATATTATCAATTGATAATATCTACAACATAAGAAGCATGAATCTAAACAAAGGAAATACAAGATGTCATAAAGTTTATTCCAAGGAACACACTATTGCTATAACCCATGTTGTTTACAAATTTGCCAGGCTCGCAAGACACGATAAACATTTTTTATTGATCTAATCACATCTACCATATGTTCCACATGTTTGCGTGTTAAAATCTATGTTAGCCTATAAAACATTGACATAGGTAAACCATGTATTTTTTGTTGCTTTGCACATTCACTTGAAAACAGGTTATGAAAGGGCAAACATGTGAAGAATATTATTCCTGGGCAAAGGAAAAGAAATAATTTATAAATGATTCATAGAAAAAATCCAATTTATTGTGATCATTAATAAATTATTCATTTTTAATGAATCTATGACAATACTATTGTTGATTTTGTAAGTACGAAATAATCGCAATTTTAAAACAAACTTTGTAACAATACAGTTGGGATCAGGAGTCAGTACCAAGAAGCTGCTTTTCGTGAACTTCTAACGCACAATGGATCACCCAATGAGATGCCAAATATATATATTTATATCAGTTTTAACCTCAGCCCCTATATTTACGATTTTCTTGGTATATAGTCCCCTATCGGAAACCAAAGACTATTTACCGCGAAACGGGTCGCGTTGTTTCAGACGGCTTAACATAACGAATACCTAAATAATCTAAATATACAAGGTTACTGGGTAAGTCGACGTAGATACTTTAAGAGGTTGTAGTTACCATAATTTCTAAAAAAATTCGCTGTAAAATACCATATCCCAAACCTAAGTCAACTACAACTACATAACTAACTAACAAACCCAGAACTACTCACGATATTGGATTTAAACTACTTAAGATTTTTTATACAAATTGCCGAAATTTTGCCTAATACATTTTTTTAGAACTTATATCCTTTATTTTAAACCTTTCTAATGTTTTTGTGTTGTTACTAAATTGTTTTACAATTTCAATGACTAAAATTGTAGTTAACTTAAAAAACTGGGCCGAACCACCTGGATAATAATAGCAAAAAGAAATAAATTTTGAAAAAAAATATGTCTTTACATGTTTTTTTTTACAAATCTGCACTTTAATTGTCATAGTATTTTTTGATTATATACGTCGAAGAAAAAAATAAAATAAAATAATATCTTTTTGCTATTAATAACCATCTACTTCGGCCCAGTTTGTTAACCAAAATGTTAGTAGGTAGTTGAAACTTTTAAGCAATTTATCAAATACACAATAACAGTAAAAAAAGCATTTAATAAAGGATATAAGTTGTAAAAAAATAGATTAGGCAAAATTTCGGCAACTTTTATAAAAAAATCTTAAAAGTTCAATATTTTGAAAATGCTTAGTTGAGGGATATGATATCTTCATAGTGAAATCTATCAGAAATGATGGCAACTACAACTTCTTAAAGTATCGACTTACCCAGTAACCATGTATAGTCCATACAGTTTGAACTGCACTTTAGGACCATTTAACACACACCACCAAACTGAAATACAACAATCCTTCTTGTTTAAATTCATAATTACAATTAAAATTGGGCCGTAACTTGGTGTTAATATTAGCACACCAGTAGCGTCAAGTTTTGTAGTTGTGTTTTGCTTCCAGGACTCTGCATATCCATTTTTAGGGTTCCGTACCTCAAAAGGCAAAGAAGGAACCCTTATAAGATCACTTTCTTGTCCGTCTGACTGTCTGTCCGTCTGTCCGTGTTTCCCCACCGATTTTCTCGGTAACGGGTAGACCTAGCATGTTGAAATTTAAACCAGATACTGAGGTCTATGGTATTATGTGTATATTAGGTGTTAGGTGTATAAAAATCAGGGTCCTGAGTCAACACGATAAAACATATGGGCAAATTTCGTTTTTCGCGAAAACTTGTAAGTACCCAAAATTTACCTTAATTTTCAACTTTTTCTATTTTTCAGAATTTTCTCTTTACTTGTGCTGTAAGACCTTGCTTTTAACCAAGATTAACAATTCGAGGTCAACCGGAAGTACCCTATAGGTTTTGCGTCGAAAACCTATATGGTAGTTCCCGTTGACCTGGAATCACCAAATTTGGCAAAAAGAAACGTCTTACAGTACAAATAAAGGAATAATTCCAAAAATTAAGAAAAAATGAAAATGAAGATAAATTTTGGTACAAATTTTCGCGAAAATCTACGTATGATCTGCTTAGGTGCGGAACCCTCGGCGCACGAGTTCGACTCGTACCTGACCGGTTTTTTTGTTCTTCCCGACTAAGCCATATATAACGGCTCGTTTATACTATTAAATAACTCGGAAACATCTCAACATACAGTCGACACTTGTTACGACACTGTAACATTGATATATCCAACTGTCAGGACTGCACAGTAGGTTTTTTTAGCAATATCCATTAAAGTAACCACGCGAAGTGGTGCTGTTTTTAGGCTTGAGTTACGTCTTCTTAGATTATTTAGACACGCGGCAACATGTCAAGCTAAGTTCAAGCAAAAGGAACTCGTAACGCCGTTTATAACACGAACCATTTGAAGCCTCTTTTGTCTACTTGCTGATTTAATATGTTTAACATAAATACTTAGTTTGTTTTATTTATAGAAACACATTAGATTGACTGAAAAACTTCATAAATGCAGCTCGAACAGTTATTGATATATTAACCTCTAAAAATCGCCCTTCTTATCACTTGGATCATGTAGATCAAAGACCTAACCCACTTCCAGGTGACTAAGAAAGTTGGAAGTATACCAGCTGAGTAATCTTGTATATACAGAGCAGAAAAACAGTGTTTTTTTTAAGATATCGAAAATTTTAATACCTAGCGCCTATCAAAATCAGAAAAACAGTGGTTTTTTTTAAGATATCGAATATTTTAACACCTAGCGCCTATCAAAATTATAATAGTATTTTTTTTTTTGCGTAATTTGTTTCCTCTTGTCACTTTTATCGTATTGTATACCAGATTTAAACTGGACAGGTACTTATATGTTTATTATCAATAAATAATTTAATATTTCTAACTTATCTATCGCTATGTGTACAAATGAAATTGGAATTAGTGGGCCTGTTCGACCGGAGTGATACCACCGCCTCACAGAAAATCGGTGTTTAGCCAATCTTTCGTTGCTTTTCACCGAGTGAGGGAGGTTACCGGAGCAAAACCCCTTTTCCCCGTTACTGGAGGGAGGACGCAAAGGACGGCATTTGTGATTCTTGAATTGCAGGTGTCCATGAGTGGCGGAAGTTGTTTACCATCAGGTAACCCGTCTGGTCGTTTACCTATATCATTAATCATTACCTTAATCATAAATTAATTGTCCGTGTGGTGACGTAAGAAGCGACTAAGGGAGCAATCTACGCAGGACAACAAAACTGCAAAAAGTGAAGGAAATTTGTAACAAACCCTCTGCTAACCCGTCTGGCCAGCGTGGTATACTGACTGGCAATGAAATAGACTGTCCTCAGAAGTTTTTAGAACAAACAAGCAAAGGAAGTACCTACTGATAAAGAGACTAGGATGATTCGTCATTACCCGTAGGCTTAGAAAATGTTGTGACTATTTAAATACTCCGTGCAATATATCTTGACAATGTAAATAATTTAGAGCCATTGGAATTTTTATTTACTGTGCAATAAATGTAATTATTAATAACAATCAAATATAGCGTAATGTAACGCTCATAAACTTTCAGTTTTATCTCCGTTTTTATCACTACACTGAATACAAACTAATTTTGTGCAGAGTACCCAATCATACATATTTTGTCGGTTATTTTCTCAAGAATTATTTTTGAAGTCTTTTTATACTAACATTGTTTTAGGAAAAGTTTATTTATTTTAAAATAAAGTGCTCATCTACTATCTCCCCTAACTCTCTTACATAACTGTGATGACTCATAAAACAAGATAGTGAACTTATTATGTTGGTTTGATAATACAGTATTCTTCTTTCTTCAATTGAAAGTTCTTTGTTTAAAGATAAAATTACAATGACTAACACAGAGGTCAATCACCAAGATTAAGATGGAAGAGCTAAATATCCAAAAAAAACGTAAATTCAGGAGATCTTGTTACAAAGTCCGTTTTTGTAATCAGAGCAAAATGACACCGAAAAAATATTGAGGCCCTTGTTGGATAAATAAAACGATACATTTGTGGTATAAATTACTTTATGTTTTACACTTATAAAAATACCTGCATACAAACTCCATAATATACGAAGCTCGCATGTATACGTATGTACATAAAGTCTTTTTAAAATACGTGCTATAACTAAGGCTGAAACTAACAGTGGAGACATAGAAGGCATTCCTCATTATTGATCGCTTCATCGAATTTAATGCATTTGAAGAGTATTGAAGCTGCAAGCAAAACAATTCTTTATGAAGGAATCCTTAATGCCTTGTGACTACTAGGTATATAAATAATCTATGTTAGCTGTATGTGCATATTTAAACAGGCTAGTCTTAAGTATAATATAAACTTTTATTTTGAGAAGGCTTGCTATAAAAATATTTGGTTATTCAGTAGTTTAACAAATTTGTCATGTCCATTAAGATTACGTCACACAGACCTACTTACTCAGGTACAGCTCTATATCCTTAGGACGAGATTTCAATTAATCAAAACACCCACATTCTCTTACAAATGAGCTTAGAAATCGCGACGTTTCATGCAAAATAACATTTAAAATACTTTGTTTAACAACTTTTACTCTTGATAACTGTTGCGCAGTGTTAAATCTTAAAAAAGGGTACTGACGAGATATACAATTAATTTAAATCGTAAGAGTTCTCTTATGTCTCCGTTGTTATACAAAGTATTTTCCTAAACAGATCGAGTGGGTACTTAAGAACTATAATTATACAATTGCGAAGTAAATCGCTTCTCTCTTTTTACTTATTTTACATATAAAGGAACTGTTAATCGTTGTAAAATTAGTTTTTTTTATATTTATATTTATTAAAAGTGACTACAATCCCGATCAGTCTTCAAGCTAGCACTGATATTTAACTCCGCCTAACTAAAATCACATGCCTTAAATCTACTTCCAAAAACACAATAGTCTAATTACTGTGTTTTGGGATTTACATTATTCCTAATTACTACATAACTTAGCAAATATTTTGTACTTGTTTACTACTTATAGTTCGAACTTTGCGTGAACCACCAGTCAATTTTCTTTCAATGTCCTCTAAACTTTTTCCTCGAGTTTCAGGCACACAGTATATAACGAAAAATAACCCTATAATACATATAACAGCAAATAACCACATTGCACCAGACATATTTATAGCATAAATTATATTATGGAAAGTTTTAGTGACAATAAAGGTGCATGTCCAATTGAATCCAGTCCCTAAAGCAGCTGCAGTACCTCGAATCTTTGACGGCAGAATTTCACCCAACATTAGCCATGGAATAGGTCCAAAGCCAATCGAAAATCCTAGTACGTATATAACTAAACATGCGAGTGGCAACCACCCATAGTTACTTATATCAGCTCCTGAATCCATCATGTAGAAATAAGCTCCCAGTGTCACTAATGTGCATATCATCGCAATCGAAGAAATATACAATAACACCTTGCGACCTAAACGGTCTATTATGACTGTAGCTATAAAAGTGGATATAAAATTTACTATTCCTATAATAATACTACATAAATTCTCGTCGACACTGCTTCCAGCCATTTTAAAAATTGATGCTGCATAGAAAATAACGGCATTTATTCCACTTAGTTGTTGGAATAACATTAACCCAAGAGAAATAAAAACCGCTGGCATGTATTTAGGACTAAAAAGTTGTTTAAAAGCGTTTCCTCCTTGTTTATCAGCGTCATCCTGGGTTCGGGTTAAGTCTTTTAATTCTTTTTCAACATTTGCATTTTTTCCTCGTAGCCATTGTAAAGCTTTGCGAGCATCGTCCGGTCGCCCTTTAGAGACCAACCAACGTGGAGTTTCTGGAGTTAATAGCATAAGAAGAAAATAGGGCACCGGTATTGCGGCTCCAAAGAAGGCTAATTTAGACCAGTCGAGGTAGCTTCCGACGAAAAATGCTAAAAGAATGCCAGTATTACCAAAAGCAGTGGGTAATAATCCAAACGCGCCTCGGACTTCAGGCTGTAATGTTTCCCCAAGGTAGACCGGGAAGCCTAGGGAAACTATTCCCACGCAGACACCGCAGAAAACACGTCCAGCAAACACCATCAAAACATTTGTTGCAGCACCAATTAAAATCCAGCCCAAGAAAAATGGTATAGCCATTGCCATAATGGTCCATCGTCTTCCTAAGCAATCTATTAGAGGACCTCCGGCTACACCACCCACCAATGCAGCTAACGGCATAAGCCCACCAATCCACGTAATCTACAAAAAGAAAAGAAAATAATTTTAAAAACTTTCTTAAAATTCATTTTTAGTAAAACAAGATTATTAAACGACTTCTGATTAAAATAAATATCATCATTGAAAGTGACAAAAACACTCGCCAGTATTTCACGGAGTTGAAATTTTTACCTTATTATTTTTCGGTGTTTAGCAAAGTGTAAGATGTGTGTGTATGTAGATAATGTATATATGTAGTAAAATATATATTATAGCCCATCTAAAAATTAGACCAACAGACAAGGTCTAATTATAAATACTTCTTCCAATCTAACTTCTTCTGTAATCTCTCGTCTTCAATCGAAATATAATTAAAACAACTTACCTCCTCATTACTTATGGGGTTTCCATAAATAGTTCCGTTCATGCTTGCAAGTGCAGGAGAAGTGTATGCGGAACTGAATCCCACAATCATTGAACATATTGATACAGCAAATGCAGCCAAAAGCTGTAAAAATAAATTAAATATACATAGTTTTATTACTAAGTTAACAGATCTTTCTTAAACATATTCTGGTTTATATAAACGATGTGTGCAACATTGGAGTTGACCATGGAGCAATTTTAAAAAGCTACCGTTCTTAGACATTACTCTCAAACATACTACACCTCAGATAGTACTCGCCGTAATCGTTTATCATTGTATGTTGAAACTTCATTTAGCTGTAGATTCTTTATTTTGTTTAGCCCTATATGTATAATTTTTTTTTTACAAAAAATTTCTCCCTATATACTGTAACTACGTACCAATGTAAAGCCATCATCTCAGAATGGCTCTTAAAGTAATCATATAAGTAGAAGGAAGGCCTATTAATGGTCCTACAGTGAAACGTGTAGTGGATATGTCATATGACAGATCCAATCCCAAGACCATGTCGTAGGGCTAGCAAACATAGAGCATATACTCCTTTAAAACTCCACCCACTACACCCACATAAACACACATACACACAGACAGATACACACACTCATACAATGACACACACACACACGTACCCTGTTTTTGTTAATGTTTCATTTATTACTACTGCCATTCGTTTCTTTCTTTTTGTTATTTTTTTTTCTTTAGTTTGTAGTACTTTCTTGCACAACTACATACTACTCTGTGTAAAAAGTATCGGGAATATGTCAATAAAAAGACCCGCGTAAAAGAGGTCGTTCTAATTTTTTTACTGCATGTTAGTTGCACTGTACTGATTAAGCGCGCAAAATTTGAGCGGGATCTGTCATTTCATTTGTTTTAAACTACACTTTTTGTTGGTGATAGTTTTGAGTCCTCGGCGATTTTTACAATGGAAAATATTGTTGAACAAAGTGTGCCTTAAATTTTGTGTTTCGAATGATATTTCTTGAGGTGAATCACTAAAAATGTTGCGAAATACCTACGGCGAATCGTGTATATCGAAAACAAGGGCTTATGAATGGTATAAGGCTTTTAAAGAAGGCCGAGAAGTAGTAGTAGACTTGCCTCGTTCTGGTAGACCTTCAACCGCTACGACCAAAGAAAACATCGACAGAATCAAGAAGCTAGTGCTCGAAAATCGACGTATGAGTCTGAGAGAGTTGGCTAGTGAGGTGAACATACCTTTTAAGTCCGTCCACAATATTCTCATTGACAATTTAGGGCATGAAACGCGTCGCCGCTCGACTAGTTGCAAAAGAGCTTAATTTTGTTCAAAAAGCGCAGCGAAAGCATGTCGCTGAAGACATGGTTTCCCGAGCTTCTACGGATCCGACCTTTATGAAACGTATAATAAAGTCGCTCCAAAATCAAGGTGATGCTGACAGTTTTTTTTGACTACCGTGGTGTGGTTCACTCCGAATTCCTTCCAGAGGGAGAAACAGTGAATAAAGAATATTATTTAGGCGTCATGAAGCGTTTGCGTGAGGGTATCCGCCGAAAACGTCCAGATTTGTGGCAACACAACTCATGGATGCTGCACCATGATAATGCACCATCACACACAGCCATTATAGTGAAAGAGTTTTTAGCGAAAAATTCAACAAAAGTTCTCGACCAAGCACCGTATTCACCTGATATTGCTCCGTCTGACTTTTTTTTATTTCCCAAGTTAAAATTACCACTTCGAGGAAAACGTTTTGAGTCGATAGAAGCCATAAAAGAAAATTCGCTGAATGAGCTAAAGGCCATACCGCAAATAGCCTATGAAAAATGTATGGAAGACTGGGTGAAGCGGTGGAGATGTTGTATTGCAAGCGATGAGGCCTACTTTAAAGGCGATAAAATAAATTTAGATGAATAATTTGTATTTTTTGTTTTATTGACAAATTCCCGATACTAAGTACACAGAATGTATGTTGTAACAACCTTACTATGGTATTTTGAAATGTCAAGACGTGATCCGAGTGGGGATCTGGTGTCCTATGACACAGGGTTTCCAGCGATCCACTACCGAAATTGTCAGATGTTGTTACGTAATCGTATTTTCATTGTTTTTATTTTGGTTTTGGAGAGAAAAAAATGATATTATTATTCATAAATCGATACCTGATAGGACACTTTAGTTGTCATTGCATATATAATTTCATAGTTTTTATCACAACTTATATAAGGTATGATGTTTTTGCTACACGTTTTTACACAAATTTCATTCGGAACCTAATGGAAATTCCAATCGCCGTTGGCTTTTATTATATTCGTACATTAAAATATGCATACATGTACCTATTATAAAAAGCATATTTTTTTCCAGTTTACCGGATCTGTTTAGTTAAAAGGTATTTGGCAGAACAAACGCAATAAAGCTTCACTGCGTTTTATGTCAATATGAATAAAAATGTCTAACATGTCTAGTTATCAAATAAATAGTGTTTCAATAAAGAAAAAAAATATTCTCAATTCATTCAGTTCTTATCGTAACGGCTTTTTTACTACTGGTATTAAATGATATTTGTAAACAGTTTCTTTACAAACATTGAAACTATTTAAATATATATATTTTAAGTTAGAGGGGCCAGACAAACTGACGTATATATGTATGTTTATACGTATTATATGTATATAATATCACAATCATTTTAAGAAATTCGTTTACTCACTTGTGTCCACAAATAGAGGCGTTGGGTTGTCGGCATGTACGGCGGAGCATCGCCATTGATGGCGAAGTCTTGTGTTACTTTGTTACTGTCCAAACTCAACTGTTTTATGAATGGACTAGAATTTTTCAAATTATCCTCCTTGTCATTTTTAATTTCCATTTCCATTTTGTACTTGAATTCGTTCCCTAAACTGATTTGCCGCAGTTGCTGGAAATGGCGGCGAGTATTTTCGAACGAATCTTGTTCGTCTTCGCTGCTGCTTTCAGTTGATGCTTGTTCTGGGATTGTTGCGTAATTTGGTACAAGAACCCCTTGGGATCCACAGGTTGTGGCAAGTGAAGTACTAGTCGTGGATGCGGAGAGTGTAGACTTCGATGGAACTCTTGTGTATTTGGGCCCTCGGGTTTTGTATAGTCTCTCCTCGTCGCCTTGTCCACGACGACTTGGTTCGCTCCCCTGCAATAGTTGAAATAGTTCTTGTAATTTTTTTGCAATTTAAGTATCACCTTAGACGCATGTATTTTGGTTCGGGCACACGCCAATTATACAATTGACCGGACTCTTTACTTCATTAAACATTACTGAACTGACATCCGCAAACAGCCTATTTATAATATCAACTATCTATTGTATGCATAACCAGGTCAGATCAAGAAAACACACTACTTCTGTAGCACATTTATCGTATAGCTACCGCATGATTTGATAACCTAGTATATAATAAAGCAGTAAATATCTTGACCCCTTTCCTCACATTGAGTCCTGTGACAAACACCAGTTCATAAATGATCCTAATGTGTCTGACATAAATAACCGGCTAATTACAATTCGAACACGTCTAATACATTAGGTTACAAAAGACGGGTTATCAAAAACCGTTCACAGCTAACGGTCTTCGCCTTTCTGTAAGAGTGTCTCTGTTGTCATGATACTGTCTATAAAACATAATGTACTAACACTTCGTTAAATCTGTATGGATCTGATGTGATAGATTAATGGATCTGATGTGTCTTATGGCATAGTGAACATTTGATTCTTTTGTGAGTCTAAATCCCCAAAACTTAACGTTGCCTAGGCATTTCTACGCGTGTATAATTTTTTTTTTGTATTTTAGTTCGTATTATCTTTAATTCTGTTAGTAATTAAGGATTTTATTCGATTAATGTTTCGTGTACTTAAGTCATGCCTAGTAATATGTAACTATTTTAACAGCCTTGTTTATCCTCTTCCGAGTTCCCACTTTTAATTAATACCAGTGAATTGTTTGACTTTAAACTATATTTCATGTGATTTATATGAACGATCAATTAGTCCTATCGGATTCCTTGAAATTTATGATAATACTAGTAATTTACTGCGCAAAGTGAGTTAAATGAACTGACTTCTTTACGAAAAGTAATGTATTGTAATCATTACTATATGTGTGACTTCATTTAAATTTGTCTATAGTAGTAATAGCCTCGTGTTGTGCTTGATGTGCTATATAATAGTTCAAGGGTTGTGGCATTGGTCACGTGTAACGTTGCATTTGACTAAGATAACTAAACTATGCCCTATAGTCAGAGGTTATAATATAGTTATTTACTTCTTTAAATCATCTAATGATTGTGATAACGAACTTTCATAATAATTGAATCGGATTTTATATGTACCATATTTAAAATTTTATAAGTCATTTGGAAGTCTCAAAAAGTATAAAATAAAACAATTATTTATATATATATATATATATATATATAAACATTATATCAATATTCATTTAAATCTTTAAATCTCGAATACCCTGTTCATAATTTGATAAACCTTGTTTGTCAATCGATGTTAATTTATCACTAATGTAAATATTTATAAACAGTACATATAATTTTGGTGACGCAAATTTTGGTATGATTAAAATATTGATGATAATTTTATTTTAAAGTTAGACTAGTCATAAGCTAATGAAAGTGGCGCCACACAGTGAAAGTTTAATTATTTGTTTGAAACATTCGCAAGCTCCATCTATCGGAAAGTATGACAATTTTTAAGCTAGATACATAACTAACCGTCTTAACTGAAAGGCAATATGGCTGGTATACGCGTTGATGTCGCTAGTTAAGAGTCAAGTTGGATTGCAAAATATACTTTTTACAAAGTGAAGTCACTGTGAATTTTGTAGACCAAATGTAACTAATATGACTGTGTAATTGAAATATAACAATTAATTCGTGTGATAAATTTAAATGTTTTGACAAAGCACGTTTTGTCATAGAATACACAATTCCTTACATGTCTGTGTTTGTCTAATTAGATGTAGTGTTGCGACTCAATTTACTTTATAAATTTAAAATCAATGTTATTAAATCTTCCGCGACAACTGCCGCTATATCGGAAGGTCGTATTGTTGGTCGATCCAATACGACCATGATCTCCGACTATAAACCGGACGCTGCGTGCCTTTCGATATGTCTGCATCTACGGCTCCACTTGCATTCTTTCAGATCTCACTTTTTTTAAATTAAACTAGTAAAGATTTTTTTTGTATTTTTTTTATTATGGAATCATTTATGAAGTGGAGTCTTTTATTGCTAAGCAACAGACGGCCTGGCATCGACCGCATTCATCGTCAAAAAGTAAAACCTTTCCAGAGCCTTCTATACACTTTCACCCGGCTCATTATAAAAATAACATTTTAGTAACGATGTAGAATATGCATCTATATTTAAAATTTCCAAAATGTAACTGTTATATAAAGTGTTGAATTCATTGATATACAATGATATAACAAATATACGTACCATTTCCGTAGAGATCTGCTTCAGATATCCCATAATTTTCCCCATGGCGTTGGGGTTATTTTTATTAAAACTCATTTTGCTGTCTTCACTAAGACGGTATTTTCGATCTATCAAGGAACGTCAAAATGATAATGTTTGCACAATTTGACACTTTGTTTAACAGTATACCGAAGTTGTTTTTAAAAATCCAGGTCCGCAGTGATGTCGGTATACAAAGCACATCACTTTTCAGTTCACACCTAAAGGTAGTGAATTCAAACCACTGCCTAGCTGCAATACACGAACGTTATGGTACTCTATTGAGATGTGTCACAATTATATAGCCGATGTATTACTTCAGATTATTGTTTACAGACAACCGAACTGAATATTGTCATTCAATTAAATTTATATTTCCCGCTATGAAGTAACAATTATGCACAACATTCAATTTTTACAATCCTCTGTAACATTAAATGTTGACAACGCGTACTGAATTCTTCAGCAATTGAGTTATCTATTGAAACTTGCAGATGGCAGCGCAGTGTTTTATATAGGAAGGTTGGCAGCGGCGGTACCAAGCACACCCCCCTCTTGCCGTCGCGTTCCTCGTGTGTATATTTGTCTGCGTTTGTGTGCACTCTCTTTCTATGTGGGTGTGTTCAGTGCACGCACACCATCGCCACATCGACTGCTTGCAACTGAATGCCTTGAATATTTGTTTAGTATTAGAATTACAATATCTACTCAGTTTACGAAAATACGTAATATCAGTAAATTGTCCGTGTGCTACTTTCATACCTTCTCAATAATCAAAATGTGTGTACATAGACAAATAATATAAAAATATCTATTTTTTTAACGTAATTTCCTTTAAATGATTGTTTAATAATGTCTCAAGTCTTACTATGAAGAAGTTCTAATCCTTATCTTTTTCGCATAATTGAAATCGAGATTGAAATCAAAAACTTCATTATACCTACATTCTACATCCAACACGTTTTTAAACACAATTTATTTCCACTTATTGTTATCACGTCATCATCTTTAAAAAAAATCTAATTAGCCCTTTTCCACATTCTAAATAGACCATAGCAGTGTTGACTTGCTTTTTTAGCTTCTAAATAGTAAATACATAATGCCCATCAGTTATGAAGTGAAATTTATATTTATTTTTATTTGATAAAACTTATTCAATTTGTTGTTCAAAAAATTTGTTCCTAAGCCGTAAACCAGTTCCAACCTTTACGCTGCCATCGCATCGCATCCGGTCCGGATCCCGTAATGTCCGAACTCGCTTGCGCTTTATCAGTTACGTTTGGGGGTGTGTCTCGTTCGGCGTGTGGGCACGGCGCACGCCGTCGCGGCCACCAAGCGTTGTAAATGATAAATATTCCAACTTGTTCGTTTCACCTTACAGTTTACAACAAAGTAGTTTATTAAACAACAAGCGACCTTACATACGAGATGTTACAATTATAGCTCTATTTCCGTATGATATTTTTTCTTAATCAAGTTTTGCTTTGCTTATATTAAAGGTAATATATATTGTTACATTTCTCAGGTGAGTCGCTACAGGTTGTATGGGTATTGCTAACAATTGTATAACGAGAGTTAGTTTGACTAACTGCCGTTTTTACGATATGCAGTTGTATAAGGTTGTGACGTTATGGTATGTGAAACAATTGTATGCAGGTCGCACGCGTCACACAAACGAATCAATTGTTCTTATTTTGACTCTTTTTATTGAACTTCATGCATCTTTACATAGTATAAAATAAAGTCGCTTTTTTTTCTTGTACGCTGAGATCTTTTAAACTACACAACGGATTAAAGTACGGTTTTCACCATTAAAGAGAGTGAGTCAAGAGGCGGGTTTATATGTATAATACATGCATTAGAGGCAATTCGAAAATTATAAAGATTTTTAATGTGAAGTCGTAAAAAACATATTTTTGTGCGCTTACATTGCAAACGCTAGCAAATAGATCAAAATAATGTACTACGGAATTGTATATCTTAAAGAGATCTACAAAAAAGTCAGTGATGGTATATGTCTATCTAACCAACAGTAACCATTTTATCTTTTATATTACAAAAAAAAAGGGTTAGTTACGAAGCTATTTGGAACAATACAATATTGTTTATTATCCGATTAAACACTTTAGATACGTTGGGCATAATGTAGATCAATATTGCCCTTAACAGCATATCATTAAAATGAAAATCTTAGAAGACAATCTTAGAACAGTCTAATACAATTTCGAGCAAATGTAATAGTACTTTTTGGAAGTGAGAATATTTGTTTTTCAATGACGCCATTTCACCGAGTGAGTTAGGTTGCCGGAGCCCAACCCAACGGAATGCTACCAAGCATGGGCAAATGCAGCGACGGCAGGCGATGTAAATACCAGCACGCTAAAAAAACAATATAACTTTGCCTCCTGGTACCTTAACAGAGCCTTTGCCGGATCAGTGAGAGACTGGTGAGAGTCCGCCTTTACTGGGATGATCACCAGCTCACTCAATGACCGACAATATGGTTTTCGCCGGGGTCGCTCAGCTGGTGATCTTCTCGTCCTTCTAACACACCGGTGGGCACAGGCGATCGAGACCAAAGGAGAGGCTTGTGCGGTTAGTTTGGACATAGCGAAGGCCTTCGATCGGGTCTGGCACCAGGCACTTCTGTCGAAGCTCCCTTCCTTTGGGCTTCCCGAGAAATTGTGCAATTGGATCACCAGCCCCAATATTTCTCGAGAAAACATCTTAGAGAGTCGAAACAAACTTGTGTCTGAAATTGAAACGTCCTAAGCGGAGGTTTCAGATTGGAGCCGACTTAATCTAATCAAGTTTAACCCTAAAAAGACAAAGGTCTGTGCGTTCACCGCAAAAAAGATACCATTTGTCGTAATCCTTCTTAAAAGGCCGGCAACGCGATTGTGACTTCTGAGTTGCAGACGTTCATGGGCGGCGGTGGTCACTTTCCATCAGGTGACCCGTCTGCTCGTCTGCCCAATCTAACATAAAAAAATAAGCAGCTAATGATGTAGACAGCTACATTTCATCATTATTTACAGGATACTAATGTAACTTCACATACATTTGAATGCAGTTACAAGCTACAAAATAACGTTCAAAGTAAGTCTTTTGTGGTCTTATTCAAAGTATTGGGACATATTGCAATGTTTCATACTAAATTAAATAATATTTAAACGGTGCATTATTTGTTTTTTTTTTATTGCACAATAAATTAATACAAATTCTTAAGAAGGTATGTACTGAAAAAGGGGGAGAATACACTCGATTCAGAGATCCAGCAAACCCATAAACGTTACTCCAGCAGGATCTCGAATAACTTCGCAACCGAAGATAAAACAAATACAAGAAAAGTTGCAACATTTATCTCGTCTGGACAACTAATTATATAAATAATATTTATTTCAATATACGAATTAAAAAAGAAAATATAATATACTCACTTACTTTTACCCATTTCCATTACAATCAGGTCACAATTGGCGAAGACATTGCTTGCACAATCGGTGCTTTCCCGGCGGAAATTCACGAGTATTTCCTAAGTTGCCAGATATTTCTAGAATAATCAAAAGGTTCGGTAATCGGGCAAAATCTTAAAAAGAAGCTAAAATCCTTTTTAATTTTTTGTAGTCGGTTAATGAACGTCATGATTAAACTTCTTTCGCCAGTTGCACAAACCTTTATCAGAAAACATTCGTATGTAATTTTTTATGTGCAAATAGTATAAACTGATTGTTTCCTAGTCCAAGAAACGGATACATATATTTAAAGGTCATTAAAAAATGATCCAAAAACTTATAAAAGTGAAAGAAAGAAGACACGTCATTTGAAAAATCATCAACATTTCATACGCTTATTTAATGCTGACTAGATATTGTTCATAATTAACCCTAACATATGCAAGTATGTGCTTATTATTTTGAGTTGAGTATGCACGTGGATGGCGTCACGTACGCTTTGCTGACAATGCACACGTCTGATATCTCTCCGATTCAAGCTCATGTCGTCTTGAGCATGAATCGGAGCTTTTGCCTTATTGTACTGAGCCCCGCCTTCGAAAGAACACGTCATCTTATCCCGTACGGTTTGAAGCGTACCAAAAATGTACTGGGAACGTGACTTCAACCATGTACCCAACTAATTTTAATTATTGCATCGTAAATAGATGCTCTTTGCTGTACAAGCAGTCAATAACCTATAGTATCAATATTAAGGCTAAGTTAATCCTGTTAACCATTAGGTACTCTAAACTTAATTTATCATAGGAAATATTTACTTACTAAAGATTTAAACCTAAAAGAAAACAAGTTTCTGTCTACTAACTAAAAGTAAATTATTTATATGAAGTTGATGGCAGAGTTAAGTATACTGCATCCTATTATTTTACTGTTCTATTTTCGAAAGCACACCGCGTTACTGGTGACACACAGAGACACTTGTAAACTTTAACGCTTACATCAACATCAGCGAACACACACACGACACGTCATAGGCTTAAAATGCCAACGGAATATTCCGTGCATAGTCGGAGCCGGGTATACGTATAGAAGAATTTCTTGACTTTAAGGCGCCTTTTGTTGAATAAAGTATACATTCATAGGGCACCGATATCCATGTAGGCACACGAGCCACTTTCGTCGCCTTTGGCTTACATCGCTTATGGAGTTTTCCTACTATTTACGTTACGCTACGTTAATATTAAGACACGGCGACATTGTGTAAATTATTGTACATTTCCTAGACACTGGGATAAAGATAACAGCAATTAATTTATAAATTCTAAATAGTAGAGAAAACATCACACGTTTCACCCAAACGGTAATATTTTATCTTATCAATATATGCAATAAATGAAGATCAACAATTTCAATGCAGTGTCAAGAAATGTTTAGTTTCGTTTCGTTGCATTAATCTCTTCTCATACTACGTAACACGTAGCATTCGCAAATGTATGAATATCTGAGTATTGTCTTTTATATTAAGTCGAAGACGAAGTGAGGAGAACTTGTGCTATAGCGAAAACCTGAACCATTCTACGCTATCTAGTGATTTCCATAAAT